AAACTATATTCTCACATTGACATTTTGACTGGGAAAACTCTTACATTTTCAAAGAATCAAACTTACAAATATCCGACTCATGGTAAAAGACTACCTTTACTGGAAAATACACGATTTTCTAGGGTTCACACTATTTTCAAAACTTGATAACAACTATTGTATTACTTGGCTTCAAACACTTTTTATGCAACACAATGACACTAAATACTTATGAACTCACCAAATTTATGCTGATACTCGTTTTTAAAAATAACTTGTATTCTCAGGTCATCAGTAAGCAGGTACAGATGCAATTTTTGAGAAGATGGAGTATGTACAAGACTCATCTTTTATTTTGATTATACTTTTGGTGTCTATCAATTTGTACAGAACATGCTTGTATTATAATTATTATACTAATGCAATGGATGTTGTTGCTTGTCCTTACTATTATGTATTGTTATGATACTGTACATAACGTCCTCCACCCCAGAATGTATTTCGTCGTTCCTCCACCCCAGAACGTATTCCGTCGTTCTCGATTTTGGGGTGTGACAGAGAAGTCCAATTTTTGGGTCACGTGGTTAACCTAGAGGGAATAATGGTTGACCCAACAAAGATAGAAGCTGTATTGAAGTGGGAACGACCAAAAAGTCCCACAAATATTCAAAGCTTTCTGGGATTAGCTGGATATTACTGAAGATTTATCCAAGGCTTTTCTGCGATAGCTGCTCCATTGACAACTTTGACCTATAAAGGAGCCACATATGCATGGAGTCAGTAACACGATGAGGCATTCGGGATTAAAACACTCTGACCAATAATATATACTTTTAAGTAATAAAATATTTAACTAAGTATATATAAACATCCACTCGATACACAGGGTCAGTATCATACTAGAACATAACCAAAAGTATTTAAATTGTTGAACAACACAATTAGGTTTAGATACATATAGTCAAATCTGTGTGGATGTTGCCTGATCAACTACATCTTCCTAGGAGTGACTAGCATGTGCCTATGGGTGGTTGTGGCATTGCAACAAGTCTAAAGACTTACCGACACTACTACAAGAACATTAAAACAAGAATGCTATAGGAGTATTCCGTGAGAACTAAAAAGGTCGTTTCTAGCTGGGCAATAGTTGCTAAGTGGATACTCTACCGTTACATGTGACTAAGACGTTATAGACTTAGAACCTGTGATCTTTGCTTTACTTCCTGTTCCTTGTTTGGTTGTGGATTTAGACTTAGGATCACGTATTCGAAGGTCTATATTGTTTTGGTCGCATGTAATTAGTATGCACTATGCAAGTATTGGTCTGACAAATAACAGTCCTCTTATAAGTATCTTAGATTAATACGTCTATTAACTATTCTTTCCTTTTTCTCGCATAATTATCATGGCCGGATTTCACCATGGTGACCCGTACTTCCCAAAATCAAGGCAATTTGGGATGGCTTGAAGTAGATCCTGATGAACATCAAATCCCTTTGGATGACCACCAAGCAGAAGGCTTCTCGGATGGGTCTGACTCCGAACTCGAAGTCAACAACCTACCCCCTTGTGGCCTCGATCCCAAACCCTAACTCCGCTAGGCCTTCCAAGGACTGACGCCTGCATGGGTGGAGTGCATAGAGACGTGGAGTGAAGAGCAGCATAAACCCATGCCATTCAATGGAGACCGAAGCTTTTATGACACAAGCGAAGGAGGTTCAACAGACAGAGTCTTGCCCATCCTGGTCCGAAGAGTTTCCCGCAATGAAATCCAAGGCAGGACAACCCTCCAACGTATCCTAGAGGTTGATACAAATGGAGGACTGCACTCCCTTCGGACCAGCCACCTAGAGCATGCTAGGGAAAGGTCCGCAGCAGACCACGAGGCCTTTCTTCGAGCATTAGCTGAGACTCAGGCTGAATTCATAGAGCTACGAGTTCTCCATAGCGTCTACGAGCGACACCTCCTCGACATCGAACGCCAACTAGCCGACCTTCGAGTTCGCCCGAGAAACGTCCGCCGCCACCGATAAAACATGACTAGCGCATCTTTTATTTTGACTTAGGAATAGCCTTTAGTATCCGCGCTTGAATAAAACACTTGTCTATATAATATTCCCATCTTTGGTTTGATGTAAGGCCTACCGTTAGGCTATTTTTCCAGAACTTATGTACATCATTAATACCACTAGTATTGACAGTTTTCTAACCTATTAGGAAAAGTCTATACTCTTATGTCTCCCTACTTGGTATATGACTATGTCTGACAAGTTGTCTATGGTGATTTAATTCGTGAAACACCCTCATCATACTCACAATTGTTTCTCACTATTGTCGTCATCCTTATGAATTTTCAGTAAAAGATGCCGCCTCGCAAGCGTCTGATCAGAGGCACGCCTGGGAACCAAACTCCACCTCTTCCTCCTCCACAGTTCAATCCGGTGATGTTACAGACAGCTGTAACCGCAGCTGTGACAATAGCTATGGCCCAAATAAATTTTCGTGATGCAAGTGGAGCCAGAATAGGCACTAACTCTAGGAATGGTGAAATCCACTCTTGTACACAGGAGTGTACCTATAAGGATTTCATGAGCTGCAAACCCACGTTCTTCAATGGAACTGGAGGGATTGTTGCCCCTATCCCAATGGATCGAAAGAACCGAATCCGTCTTCGAGATGTGCTCGTGCCCCGAGGAAAGCAAGATTAAGTTCGCAGCTTGCACCTTCACTGAAAGGGCCTCGACATGGTGGAATGGCCATGTCAAATCACTCTCCTTGGTAACAGCCAACGCCATGGGCTGGGACACGCTAAAGGACAAGGGAGTACTGCCCTAAGGGAGAAATCCAGAAACTCAAAGAGGAACTATGGAACCTCAGGATGAAAGGGACTGACGTGGTGGCTTATACAGCCAGGTTCTGCGACCTGGTAACTATGTGTCCTAACATGATCCCCACTAAGAGCAAGAAGATTGAGCGGTACATATGGGGTTTAGTACCTTCATATCGAGGGAACGTTTAAGCATCACGCACTACGACCTTTGATAGCGCCAAGGAATTGGCCCAAAGGTTGATTGATCATGAAACTCCTTCCACTCCATCAACAACAACGGCGATTGCTACTGCACCTATCAAGACATCCGGCAAGAAGAGGAAACGGTGGGACCGGAAGATGGGCAAATCAACCCAATCCTTTTCAAAGAACCAACAAGTGGTAGCTGTCCATGTTGCCACTACTCCTGCTTCCCGTGTGCCAATCAAAACATATGCGGGGAACCTGCCCAAGTGCACCAAGTGCCCTTTTCATCATAACGGCCATTGTCGTGATTTGCACTGCACTAATTGCGACCGGAAGGGCCATACCGTCTGATTTTGCAAGTGTCAACCCAAACCCATTTCTCAGGTCCCCAGAACGGGAGTAAGCTAGGCCTACTATGGTTGTCGCAAAGTAGGGCATTTCAAAAGAAACTGTTCGAAAACTGGGAATACTGGAGGGACAGGAAGTCTACTTGCTATTGGCCACAATGAAGCAGTAGCAGACGCCACAGTAGTCACGGGTACGTTCCTTCTTGATAACTCTTATGCTTGTATCCTATTCGATAGTGGGGCAGAAAGAAGCTTCATAAATCAAAACTTTAAACACTTACTTAAAAAATCCCCGCAACCGTTAAAAGAAACCTTCATCGCACTAGTAGAAAAACAGCCTTTCACGACGTGCAATCAATGACACACGCTGATAGAGGACGTGCATTTGTGCATGCCCTAAAAATTGATGTCAGTTTTACAAAATATGAAGCATAGAAGGCACGCATGTTTGCGTACCCTTAAATTAGTGTCTAATAAAAATAAAAAAAGCACGGAGGGCACCTTAAATAAAATGTGCGTCATCTAACCATGTCATTTGATAAATTTTAATGAAACGCGCGTTGTCGAAAACCCGCTTTGTTTCCACCGGCTGAAAACCCTAGCTCGTCCCTATCGAAAACCCTCTTTCTTTCTTTCTTCTCTCTTGATTCTCAAACATCCACCGCTTCACTTCTCCACATCGTGCTCAAAGTAGCTGTTCAAGTACCTGGCAGTGGTCCATGTGTCAAATACATCGGTGAAGGCGGTTCCGGCAATTTCGTCAAAATGGTCCACAACGGAATCGAGTATGGCGACATGTAGCTGATTTCCGAAGCATACGACATGTTGAATCCGTTGGGAAACTCTTGAACGAGGAACTACACAAAGTAGTCTCAGAATGGAATCTAGGGGATCTTCAAAGCTTCTTGATTGAAATCACTGCAGACATCTTCGAAATCAACGACGACAAGGGAGACGAATATCTAGTCGACAAAGTGTTGGATAAAATAGGCATGGAAGAGACCGGAAAATGGACTGTCCAACAAGAGGCGGATCTATCAATCGTTGCCCCCACAATCGCGGCGTCTCTAGATTCGTGATTCCTGAGCGGATTAAAAGAGGAATGTGTTGAAGCTGCTAAGATCTTTAAATACGGTGGGTTCGGATATTTTGGGCACTCAAAATGTGGATAAACGAGAAACCGGTTCTTTCACGCCCTCAACAAACATTCTATCGGGTTCGTAATTCCTTTCCAAATCATGGGTTTTAATCTTTAAATCTCAATCTTCAATTCAGAATTACGAAATTGAAATTGTGCATATTCTTTTTATGTAGGGACATAACTACTTCGAAATTGACCTAGATATACATCGATTCAGATACATCTCACGGAAAGCACTTGATGCATTCCAGGGACGATTGAAACATAGGATTCTTGGCATTGGTTTAACGATTCAGGTAAATTGGGTTTCTGGTTTTTGAATATGGAATTGGATTTTGTGTTGTGGTTCATAAACTGAATATATGTATTTGATTGGATTCTCAATTTTTAGGCACAACATCATGAAGAACTACCCAAGCAATTTTTATGTTGTGTTAGGCTTAACAAGATCGACTTTTCTGATCATGGTCAAATCCCAAAAATTTTAATACCAAATAGTGATTAATGCTACAGAAAAATGAGAATGGCTATGGAGTATTTTGAATTGAGTAGGAAAGGTGCAGCCCTGATGGATATATTAGCAGAAATGCCAAAGTTCCTTGAACGTGAGGTATATTTAGTTTAGGGTTTTAATTGATCTATTGGTTTAATAGTTGACCACATCTTAGATAATTGATGTTGACTTTGATTATCTATTTGAAGTCCTCATTGATTAAGAAAGCAGAAGACACTAAATTTGATACAGCAGAGCTAAGCTGATACTGCAGAGCTAAGTCCTCATTAATACTCCACAACTTGGTATGGTTAAAATCCCCATCGTTGACCATAATTCTGTGAGTGTCTTGGAAAAGGACTATTATACCCTTTCTGCAGGTAGGAAGCTAATCATTTTGCAGAACTTATGTTATGGTGCCCTGGATTCTGCAGAACTAAGGGCAAAATAGACAATCGTGAAGAATTTGAAGTGGGACCAGATCCTGATGCAGTTCTTGCATTCACTGAACCTATAAAAGACATACCTATAAAAAGACGAGGTCTCCCTCCTAAAACCCCTTTACCCAAAGATCAAGAACCTGTAAAAGATATTCCTATTCCTAGTATTTAAAACCAAAACCTCTACTCATTCCGCTAGGATCACGCATAACCTAGTAACACAAAACCAAAAAAGTTATCTTTTTTATGATTTTCCCAAAATACCCTTTAATTAATTAACTAATTAATGATGTTAAATTCGGAAGCTAACCTTGCAGAAAGGGATATTACCACAAATGATGCTTAAGCATGCTGCTCAACTAGGGAAAACATTTTTGAATCAATAGTGTTAAAAATCATATACCCAATTTTTTTTTTTTTTTTCATTTCTAATGCTAGATGTATGAGAAACAGAAGAGTTCACTGTTTTAGCAATTTGGGTATCTAAAATTCTTGAAGTTTGTTGTGATTTCAATCTAGATTCTTGTAATGATGTCATCTGATTTATTCTTTCCTGTTTTTCTTCTCTTCTATCTGTTCTTGAAGTATTTAAATGCACTTCTTGTTTTTCATTTCTGATGTTAGATTGCATATGTGAAACATAAGAGTTCTCAATTTTAGCAATTTGGGTATCTGAAATTCTTGAAATTTATTGTGATTTTACTCTAGATTCTTGTAATGAGGTCATCTGATTGATGGTTTCATTGGCACTGCATGTCCACTTGAAGCTAAAGGCATATTAAGTTCTGCATTTAGATCGGGTTCATTATCAGGTTGAATATATGAAGGTACCCCTTCACCTTCAGTTTCTTGACCCATGTTTGCCTCCACAGCATCAAGTTCTTAAACATTTCCATGAAGTGAAGTTAACATTTAAAAAAAGAAAAATAATAATAATGAATTTGTGCTTACCACCCATGAGATCATCTTCATCAATATCATCTGGCACACTAAACTTCTACCAAGAGATTCTTGTATCTCACTGCTTATATCCATCATGTCCATCATTTCATCTTGAAAATTCTAAACATAAAAACAAGATTAAATGGTCTGTAATTACAAAGTATCAAAAGAAAGAGATTCATAATATTTATACTAACATAAATGTCTTGTATCTTCACAGTTTTCATCATTCCTTTCAGCTCTTTGTTTGATCCCGTGTGTAGCAAATGCTTGATAATTATGGCACATACTGTTTGTTGAGCATCTTTAATACCTTCTGAAGCGAATGCAACTTGATCCAGGTTGAATGTTTGATTGTACAACATGTCACATTCTCCTTCATACCAGCTGAAGTATAACTTACTTTCATTATCAACTCTACAATAGATCCAGAAATTCGAGGAGGTTATCTTGCCTTCACTTCTCAGGTAGGTTTTTTAATTCATACCCATGTTCAAAATACAAACATATGTGATCCTTTTTTATTAAACTTTTAAAATGCTATAAAGTTTATATGTTATTGTGTTGAAGGACTCGCCTGGTGTACTTCATTTGAAAAAATTATCAGATACTGGCCTCACACATAATTTGGAGGTCTGTAGGTAAGAAAAATTCTTCATTTCCTTCTTTCTTATTATTCAGATTTTACAGTGTATGATTTTATGATTTGGATTGAAATGAAAAAGATTAAATATGGAGATGCTCAAATCTCTACCATCAGATTCACCTCAGCAACAGGAGTACATAACAGCCATCCAAAATGAGGATGGATACAACTGTGTTATGGGGAGTCCCTAAAGGAAGCTATTCAACTAACCCTAATGGTTCATGTAGTATAATCGAGCCTCGCCTTATTATTCATATTAACTTTTGTTTTCAATAAAAAAATTAAATCAATCATGGTTCTGTAACTTTTGTTCATATTAACTTTTTTTTTAACTATGATTACAACATGGATGCACTATGTGGTCCTGATGGTGAACTTCTAGAGAAGTTAAGGAATTTAGAGCCTCGCCTTATTGAGCATATTAGTAATGAGCCTCGTCTTATTTAGAAGCCTTATGATACAATTATTTTACAAGAGCAATGGCCATTTATGTAATTTTAGCAGTGCCTAAATCTTGTATCAAAATGCATATTGTACAATTGACAGCATCCGGAAAATTTGAGGAATCTTTGGCATTGTTTAAGCTACTTGCACCAGAAGATTCAAACCTTCGAGCCTCAAAGTAGTAGTCAATTCATATCAGGTAATATTTATGGACCTGAGAAGTTTTTTGGATATGAGTGGTAAAGTTTACTTATCAAGAGCTTCATCTGGTTTGTCAGATGACATGGGCACTTCTTCACCTTCTCATACACCAAAGAGGTTATTTCAAATGCTGTTGGACACACCCATGAAAGCAATCGATCCAAAAGATCAAACAAGGTAACAATTTAACATTATTTAGAGTGAAGAGTATTAAAATTTTTGATATTTTTTTTTAATTTTCAGAGGAGAGTCAACAATGCCCCTTGACTCAGGTGCTAGAGAGATGGCATCAATATTACAGATATGGGATCTATGGGAATCTTCAAAATGAAATGGTATGTTACTCTTTGATAATGTCAACATCATTCATCAATTATGTTGTGGGGTGAGTAGACTGGATATAATGATGTTCAAACTTTTATAAAGATTATTGAATCATATTTGAAGTTTCTTTTGTTTACTCTTCATGAAGGAGGTTCTAGAAGCAATTCGTATAAGCTGTACAGGGTATCCTACCAACAAGGCTTTTGCTGATTTTGTTAAGCAATTTGGTCTTCTGGTTCCCAAAGTTTTAAGATCAAAGTAAGTAAATTGATTTAAATCATAATGGATTTGTTTACTTATCACTTGTTAAGCAATTTGATCTATATATTTCTTGCAGTTCAATCGTCGCCATCGAACCAAGTCGACCTCGATCTAGATTAAGGTCACCGTGGGCTGTTAGTTTTATTGGAATGTATAACCCATGTTAGCAATGTATTACTTTTGTTTAACATTTGAATGATCATTTGTATGATATTATAATTTGTGCAATTTATTTTATTTTTTATGTATGAGATTTAATTTTATATTATGAGACATTAAATGTGTCATGTAATTTGAAAATTACTAAATTTACGTAAATCTATAAATAATTTAAAAAAAAATAAAATAAAAGTTACGATACGCAAATATGTGTGTCATCTTCATTTATGACATGGCCTTTCTTGATAGCTGCTTACGCATTGCGTGTGATAAATGTGCGTCGTAAATGCGCATCATCTCTAGACGACGTGAAAAAGCGTTTCGTCTCTCGTTATGACAGGGCCTTCCTTGACGCGCATTTGCGCGTCGTCTAAGCGTTTTACGACGCACAATGAGCATCGTAAAATGTTGTTTTTCTAGTAGTGTCATAGAAATGGATAACAGAAAGACAGAGAGTTCTAACTAGATTCACATGGGTTGCACTCTCACGCTAGATAATCACTCATTCCCAATCGACCTCATACCAGTATCGATCAAAAGTTTTGATATCACCGTGGGCATGGATTGGTTGAGTCTCCATTACGCTGATATCCGGTGCTTCGACAAAGTCGTCCGTCTAAATCTACCGAATAATGAAACCTTGATGATCTATAGAGACAAGCCCAGTACGAGCCTTCATATCATCTCAAGTATTCAAGCCCATAAATACCTATGTAAAGAATATCATGCGTTCCTTGCACACATCGTCGATACGAACCAGAAAGCGAAAGATCTAAAAGACTTCCCTGTAGTATGCGACTTCCCCGATGTCTTTCCAGAAGAGCTACCAGGTCTACCTCCCCAATGTCAGGTTGAGTTCAGGATCGACTTGATTCCAGGAGCTAACCCTGTAGCCAAAACGCCCTATCATCTAGCGCCTGATGAGATGCAAGAACTGTCCGGCCAACTTAACGAGTTGCTCAGCAAGGGATTTATAAGACCAAGCTTCTCACCCTGGGGAGCACCGGTCTTATTCGTAAAGAAGAAAGACATACCGTTCTGTATGTGCATCAAGTATAGAGAACTCAAGAAGCTAACAGTCAAAAATCGTTACCCTCTTCCTCGCATAGACGATTTATTTGACCAACTGAAATGGGCGAGTTATTTATCTAAGATTGATCTGACGTCCGGATATCACCGGTTACGAGTGCTAGAGGAGGATGTCCCTAAAATAGCCTTCCGAATACGTTACGAACACTACGAGTTCGTAGTGATGCCATTTGGACTTACCAACGCGCCCGCAGTATTCATGGATTTTATGAATAGGGTGTGCCGTCCTTACTTAGATCGGTTCATCATTGTCTTCATTGATGACATACTCGTCTACTCTCGGAGTAAGGATGAGCATAGCGGTCATCTACGACAAGTCCTGGAAACCCTACGATTGGGGAAACTATACGTGAAGTTCTCTAAGTGAGAATTTTGGATCCGAAGAGTCGAATTCTTAGGACACGTGGTTAGCGAAGAAGGAATCCACATGGACCCATCCTAGATTAAGGCTATTGAGAATTGGTTAGCACCGAAGGTGCCTACAGAAATTCGCTAATTTCTAGGTCTCGCTGGCTACTACCACAAATTCATTCAGAACTTCTCTCGGATCGCGAAACCCCTTACAACATTAACTCAGAAAGGTGTGGCCTTCGACTGGGGAGAGAAGCAAGAGAAGGCATTCCAAACCCTGAAACGAGTCTTATGCACCGCACCGATACTATCCTTCCCCGAAGGGACAAAAGATTTCGTAGTATATTGCGATGCATCCAATCAAGGGCTCGGTTGTGTTCTGATGCAATGAGGTAAGGTCATCGCCTACGCCTCAAGGCAGCTGAAGACACACGAGGTCAATTACACCACACACGACCTCGAACTAGGGGCAGTTGTGTTCGACCTAAAGATCTAGAGACACTACCTGTACGGTACAAAGATCACGATATACACCGACCACAAAAGCCTGCAACACATATTCAACCAGAAGGAGCTCAATATGAGGAAACGAAGGTGGTTTGAACTACTCAATGACTACGAATGTGAAATTCATTATCATCCAGGTAAAGCCAATGTGGTAGCAGACGCCCTAAGTCAAAAAGAATATTATGGTCAAAGAGTCAAGTCATTAACAATGACTATCCATTCACATCTATCCACACAGATTAAAGAGGCTCAACTCGAAGCCTTGAAACTTGAAAATGTGGCAGGAGAATCCCTACGTGGAATGGATAAGAACTTGGAAGTCAAGGATGACGGAGCCTTATATCTCATGGACCGAATCTGGACGCCGCGCCACGGTGGCTACAGTGACTTGGTCATGAGGGAAGCCCACAACACTCGATACTCCGTTCACCCAGGTTTAGATAAGATGTATCTAGACCTTAAAAAGATATACTGGTAGCCTAATATGAAAGCAGAGATCGCTACCTTCGTGAGTAAATGCCTTACTTGCACCAAGGTCAAGGTCGAATACAAGAAACCATCAGGTCTACTACAGCAACCGGAGATACCTGCATGGAAGTGGGAGTGGATCACTATGGATTTCATAACCAAGCTACCCAAGACAACGGGTGGGCATGATACCATATGTGTCATCGTCAACAGATTGACAAAGTCCGTGCACTTCCTGCCCATCAAATAAACAGACAAGATGGAGAAGCTCACAAGAACATATATTAGAGAGATCGTATGACTACATGGTATTCCCATATCTATTATCTCCAATAAGGATAGCAGTTTCACTTCGAGATTTTGGCAGTCGCTGCAAAACTCCTTGGGAACGAGGTTGGACATGAGTACAGCCTGCCATCCACAAACCGATGGACAAAATCAGAGAACTATCCAAACCTTGAAAGATATGCTACGAGCCTGTGTGATTGACTTTGTTAAGGCATAGGACACCCACTTACCCCTTGTTGAGTTTTCCTACAACAATAGTTATCACAGGAGCATCAAGGCTACTCCATTTAAAGCCCTCTACGGTCAAAAGTACAGGTCCCCTCTGTGTTGGGCTGAAGTGGGTGACACTCAATTAGCTAGAGGACGAGCTCCTGAAAGCACTCTCACGGGTCCAGAGATCATTCGAGAAACGACAGAGAAGATCGTTCAGATTCGTGAACGATTGAAAGCCGCTAGAGACCGACAGAAAAGCTACGCGGACAAATGAAGAAAACTCTTGGAATTCCAGGTAGGAGACTGAGTCCTTTTGAAAGTCTCACCCTGGAAGGGCTTAATACATTTTGGAAAGCGTGGAAAGATAAATCCAAGATACATAGGGCCTTTCGAGATTCTCGCATAGAATCGGCC